ACTAGACTTCCCTCTTGAGTCACCCCGGGACCCGAAGCTGCTGTATGCATCCTTATCTTTACTAGAACTCCACCCTGAACTGTCTTTGTCGTAGAATCCTAAAAATAAAAACAAACCCGTCACAACTCAAGAGTCTATTAACACACGGACTCAATCTTTCTGAATTTGAAGGCTCATATCCCTATGGTATCAGATACCAATATAAACATTCTAATGGTGGCACCAAAAAATAACTAAGACATAATCAGTTGCCTAAAGTCTCTAATTCTCTTCTCCACTTGAAAGTACTGTATAGCAGATCATGCAATCTGATACCATCTCTAAGAAGAGGTCAGCAACTTTGCTTTTAGCAAAATGACTATGGCACTGTCTTCTGTCATATAACCATGTTTGAACTTCCATTCACTTAACAAGTGTGAATGGATTTACAAAGAAACAGCCACCGTAGTTTAACTAGCACTGTCAGATTACTTGGTTTAGTTATTTTTCAGTTCCAATAGCAAAAGTAGAACAATGCTTTGTACACATGAATCACACTCCAGATGGTATCATTTTAGAGGTTTCTTTACAAGCTTAACGATACCAACTCAAAAACCACCAACTCTCTTCCCTATGTGCTCCCAATGTCAAATGTAAATATTTAACTAAGTGGGAATCCCCAAGGACAGGTACATTGAAGACAAGAAGGGTTGACTAGCTTCAATAACATCTTATTAGTCAGACATTTACAAGTTATTTCCTTCTGCCTGGTGCTTTTGCTAGCAATCAAGAATGTAATTGCTTCTGCAGATCTCTTCCAGTTGTAAAATTTAAGATCCTGCTTCTTCTAATTTCTTTCCACAATGGAGTTCTTGTTATTCCATATCAGACAATCACTCCCAAATCACTAGAATTTGCCTGATGGTTTAACTTATCATGCAGTAAGTCCATCTTCATTTAGTCACATATGCTAAGACAAAAACAACTTATTATTTCCATGTTGTTTGCATTACACAGCATGGCATTCATCTATTTTTTCAAATTAAAATCAAGATGTAATTAATTATAACAGATTAAGAGACTAATCAATCATATTTCCATGGTGTGATATCAGAGAAGGTTTTTCCAAGTTATTAAGTTCCAGTATTTTAAATGAATCCTGATAGAAATTTAGATTTCCCAAGCTGCTTTGTTTTCCCTAGGTTCTGACTAATTCCTAAATGAATCAAGAATTAGATTTACCCAAGTGGTGTTAAGGACTCACCTTTAGTAGCTTCTCTGTTCCTTAAATGAGGAGGGATATAGCGCCCTTCTGAAAGAACATAAAATTAATAAAAATGCCAAATACCTTCACAGAAAAGCTTTCATCAAAATTCCTATTAAAAAAATAAAACAGTATAACACTCCTAACAAATTTAAAGGGTTGGTGAGCAAGATCTGATTTTAAACCAGGCATATGCCTATAATCCTAGGCGAAGGCAGGGCAGGAAGATCACCTCTAGTTTATTAAGGCCAGCCTAGCTACATAAACTTTGTCCCAAAGGGGGGGAAAAAATCCCTTTAAACCTAGTAGTTAAGACTAGGCGTGGTGGTGTATGCCTTTAATCCCAGCAGAAGCGGGTAGAGTTCTGAATTTGAGGCCAGCTTGGTCTACATAGTGAATACCAGGACAGCCATGGCTTTGTTTTGTGTCAAAACAAATTGGGGGGGGGGGGGGGGGGGGGGTAGTGGGCGCTAGTAGTTAACTGGCTACTAGCAGCTTTTTAGCCTAATTTTCTTTGTATTTCTGGATTAAGTAGTTGATAGATTTGTTAGGATGATGATTAAAAAAAATTCAACCTGGCAAAAAAACCATTAAATTTAAAACACTTAGTAGCAAGGTAAATTTGCACCAATTGTTAACTGGGTAGGAAGAAATGTAAACTGAAACATGGTCTGGGAAATCAAGCACAGAAATCCACCTCAATACTTCACCTAATCACAAGTACCAGACTCCAGAGAAACAGTATGTATATGTACACCTAAACATCACTGGACACCCTGTACATACACGCATAAAATGTTTCCCACGCCGATAGTCTTTTTGGCATTGATAGAGATGGAACTTAGGGCCTTACATACACTAGTCAAGGAAGAACTTCATCATTGACCTACATACCTTATAACTTCTAGCCAGTGAAAGCACATTCTAATAGTGTTCATTAAATTTAACATTCAAGGAATATTAAGATATCAAGTTCTGATATTCAATATACCCATAAAATGTTTTACTTACTGCTTGCTGTACTTCCTCCAGTCTGATTATCTGAGGAGTTCAGGTCTAGGCCAGCAAACTAGAAGAAAATCAGATTGTTTTTAGTCTTCATGTTGAATGAAACACACTACAGAAGCTAATTGTGCCTTCTCCGTTTTCTAGTCTCATTCAAAGATGCCCCCATGGAGCCCACGGCTATTAAGAAAATTCAGAATGTGACCAAGAAAGCACATTTTTTCCATAGTAAAAGCTCCTTATTTGACCAACTAAACTTACTTAGACTGAATCTCAAAAATTTAGCCAGGCATGGTGGCACCTGTAATCCCAGTATTCAAGTGGTTAAAACGGGGCTATCAAAAACTCAGTAACTACAGCTCCAGGAGATCCACTGCTCTCTTCCGGCCTCCAAGGACACCCTGGTGCAACATACATACGGGCAGGCATATATGCAAAATAAAAGCACCTTTTATTTAAAGGTAGGTAGCCAAACAAAATGGTTTTAAAATAGGTGCTCAAAGCATGGTTCAGTTGGTAGAGTGCTCGCCCACGTTTATGTATGAAGCCCGAGTTCTAATTCCTAGTACCACATAAACCAAGTGTGATGGGTTCATGCCTATAGTCCCAGTATCAGAAGTGGAGGCAGGTGGATCAGGACTTCATAAGACCCTGTCCAAAAACAAAACAAAACAAAAAAACACACGTTAAATGGGTATAGGATTTATTTTAGTCATTTTACAATGTTTCTAAACTCCACCACCTTTCTATTTGGTATTACTTTAAACCTAAAAGCACACATAAAGACAAATGTTCATTCAAGCCATCCTTTAGTTCCTTTATTCTCAAATACAGCAAAAAAATTAAATTGGGATAGCACTGTATAAAACAAAATTTTGGCAATACACTCACTACAACGCATATGTGTGTATGTGTATGCCTGCTAGAATTCTCGAGTGGGGGTGGACATCAAACTCACTATATAGACCAGGCTGGTCTTGAACTCAAGAGATCCTCCTGCCTATGCTAGGTCCTGGAGCTCCAACCTGCTGAATCCTATTGTCAATGTAACTAACCTACTTAGGAGCATAAACAGCAAATGAAAAGCGACAGCCCTCCCTCCCCCCCCCCAAAAAAAAACATTTGAAGGAAATGTTAATTCATAAATTTGTGCTTAAAGTTCAGCGACACTGGCAAACTAAGTATCAGTAGTCACTGAAAACTGAAAGCAGATGCACTTTCCATTCCCAGCTGTTTTTTAAATTTATCGTTTGACAACATTAATCTAAGCAGCAACAAAATTTACAAATGCACAATTGGTACTCATTACAAATTTAGAACCTGAACGACCCGGAATTCCTAATCCATTACAAATTTATGAAAGGCTCTTGGAAATATAATCATTTACATGGAAAATGTTAAAACTGGGGATGAATCTCTGCCCTTGACACCAGGAGGTGCTCTTTTTTCCTTTTTAATCTATGCACCAATAAAGTTACAAAGTGGTAGTGCAGCGGGTCACTGGCCCGAGGCTAGGAGGCAACGATAGATCGCACATCCTTATCTCTTCTGCCTCTAAACCTAGAAAGGGAATCTCGATTAAGGAATCAGACAATAGGCCTGATCTACATCCCAGTTTTACTTCAACTGGCGGCAACAAGTCAACAACAAAACTGTTGCCATATTCTGGGCATTTTGCCTCTATCTAGATGATCTCAATTGGGCCGTCACTTTCAAGGCGCGCAGTCTTCCCCTGCGCCCAGGAAAGGCCGGTGTGCCGGGTTCGGGGCTACGCGGCCGGTGGTTCACCAAAAGCTGAGCAAGGGCCGGGCCGGGCGGCTCGCGTCACCGCCGAGCCCGGCGCCAGTGCGCACGCAGCGGCCCCGGCCTCCCTCCCTCCCTCCCCCCCCTTCCCCCCCGCCCAATCCGCCCTGAAATTTCTGCGTCACAAAACTTTCCACTCGGGAACCGCGGCCTCCCATGCCGCGACGCACCGGGCCCGCGGTGGGGAAGAGACGCGGCTAAAATGCATAGGAGCCCGCTGGCCAGCAGGCCGCGGAGCGGGGGGAGGGATGCGCCGCACAGGCAGCCTGCGTCACACAAAGGAGACGGCCGCCATTAGCCCGCGCTGAGACCAGGCCCCCTCCCCCCGCGCGGCGCCCCCCTCCCCCGCGCGGCGCCCCCTCCCACATTCCAGCGCGGCGCGGCCACTGAGCTAACCCGCGCGCCGCCGCCGCCGCCGCCTGGGGTTAAAAAGCACGGCCACAGGCGCCATGGAGGGCGAAAGCCCCCGAAACCCGAGCCCCAAACTACCCACCTCCACCAGCGCGCCGCCACGCCGCGCAATCCCTTCCCCCCCACCCCCTGCCGGTCACTAATCAACTCGGGAGCGCGCGCGCGCGCCCGAAAGAGCGCGCCCCCTCCCCCTCCGCTCGCCTGCGCACACACACAAAAGCCGCCATTGTGCTCGGGCCGGGGACAATACCGCGCAGCGAGCCGAGCTGGAGGGGCAACCCGCACTAGCACTCCCCGCAGCCACCCAGACCCTCCAGAGCCCCTGGATAGTGACCCCCGAAGGCCCGAGACATCGGGGAAACGGGAAGGAAAAAGCAGAACTTAGAGCTGCGCCACAAAGCAGGCTAGGTCGGGAGAGAAATTGATGCAATCTGCACTGCAACTCACCTGCTGGTCCAGCCCGAGCGCATTTTCCACTGCCACATGACTCATCCCTGAAGAGTACCGAAAACTCGGAGTCTTCCGCTGCTGAGCAAATGCTGGCTTTACCGCAAAGGCCCTCTCACGGGAGAACTGCGGCTTTGAAGAGCACCGCGCGGCCACCGATCTTATATACAAACTCGGAGAGCTGCAACGTCAGCGCGTAAGACGTATGCCCGCCCCTCTTAGGGGGTTGTCCCCTTCTGCTAGGCTTTCTGCCTAGCTACGGCGCCCTCCTCCTATTATTCCCGTGAGATTTCGTAGGCAGTGCAGTTACCCCTTCCTTGTCCGTACATGGAGAGCCCCCGCATTAAATGATGGTCTGGTTCTCTTGGGTTTGGTTTCCCCTGTTCTCCGCTAATACCCTAGTCTTAGTGTTTTCTCGAGATCTCGCGAGAAAGCAACTCGGTCCGTCCTCTAGCAAGGAGCCCTAAGATTTAAACCAGGCTTATTTGCTGCTGCTTCTCCCTAGGCACCCAGCTTTCATCTTTCTTTCTACCACTTTTCCTCTCGTCTCAGTCTCCGTGCTTGAAAATGATGTAGTGGGCTTTGTCTGCCCTGGTGCGCCTTCTCTTTTGCGGGTGCACCTTTTCCGTATAGCAGTCAACATTAGGACCGGGAACCGAGGAGGGCGGCGGGTCACGTGATCGTGGGTGTCCAGCTCGGTGGCCATTTTGTGAAGAAGGGAAACTGGCTTGAATAAGTGCTGGGAACCGGAGGGAGGGGCGAGAAGACTAGTGGGGGAGGGGAGAAGGAGGAGGGAAGGAGCGAGGAAGGGGAAAGGAAGCAGAATGGGGGGAGGCGAAAGGCTGGATGGTGACCCGGTCCGCCTGGGCAGGGACTGTAGGGGATGTGCGGGTGGCTGGAGGCTTCATAGCGCCGTTGCCTAGGTAGCGGATACGCCACCCCCACGCGCCCGCTAAGAAGGAACAATGAGACTATCTCACGCGAATGTAGAGCCGGCAATCTGGGACCCTCCTGGGACCCTGAGCCTCCGCTAGTGTGTGAGTTATTGAACGGCCCTGTATCCTTCCGCGCGGCACTCCCGGATCCAGGCTGCTGGCACAGCAAGGGACCTCGGAGGTTTCAAACAACTTTCCTAGGACCCCGGGGAGTCGAGGGTGTGTGGCTGGGCACAATTGTGCCTGCTGGAGGAGCTGGGACAGGGATCCCTCCCCTCTCAGGCTACTACAGTGGACAGGGAATAGGAAAAAAAAAGGGTCTGTCATCAGAGGGGGCTCTTCTGGTGGACCCCCGCTTCTAAGCGGGCCACCCCCAAGTCTCAGATTCAAAAACACAGACCCTTAAACAACAAAACCAAAAAAAATAGTCTTCAGCTTTCAGGCAGTGGCCACACATACAGGTTACCTAAAACCTACCCACTTCTGACCCTCCACTTAACAAAACACACAACTCTCCACCATCCCCCAAGAGGCCTTCTGCTGCCAGAATTCAAATAACTAGTTCTTATCACATAATTTAGAACACACAATTCCTCTACTTTTCCAGCTTTTTTGTTTGTTTGCTTGTTTTGGTTTTTTGAAACAGGGTTTCTCTGTGTAGCTTTGCACCTTTCCAGGAACTCACTCTGTAGTCCAGGCTGGCCTTGAACTCAGAGAGATCCACCTGGCTCTGCCTCCCCAGTGCTGGAATTAAAGGTGTGGGCCACCACCGCCCGGCTACTTTTCCGGTTTTTAAATCACCAAGCAAGTTGCTTTTCGGCTTTGGTTCTCAATTTTTCTGGTCTATAAGAGTACAAAATCCTGTTGCTTTAAAAATACCCATTTGTATAACAATTGGGGGAGATTTTTTTGTTCTTTTTGAGGTTGCACTAGAAATATTTTATACTTACAACAAATACTTTGTTTTGTTTTGTTTTTTGGTAAACCAGTGAATTTATTGGTTTTACTTAATGGAGCTGTAACTAATTTTTAACACTTTTTTTGGAGGTGGGGGTGGGGGATTGGTTTTTGGAGACGGGTTGTCTCTATATAACAGCCCTGGCTGTCCTGTAACTTGCTTTGTAGACCAGGCCTGCCTCTGCCTCCCAAGTGCTGGAATTAAAGGCGTTGGCCATACTACAAAGGTCCTAATGCCCTTTAATACAGAATGGGTTCCAGGACAGCCAGGGCTCCACAGAGAAAACCTGTCTGAAAAAGCAAAGATAAAAAATAAAAGAACAATGTAATTTACATATTAAGAGGCAGAGAGCCTGGCGGTGGTGGTGCACACCTTTAATCCCAGCACTGGGGAGGCAGAGCCAGGCAGATCTCTGTAAGTTCGAGGCCAGCCTGGGCTACAGAGTGAGTTCAGGACAGGCTCCAAAACTACACGGAGAAACCCTGTCTCGAAAAGAGGCAGATCGATGGTTCAAAAGTTAAGAGCAGGTGATGCACAGCCCTTACAACTCCAACTCCAGGATATCTGATGCCTTCCAGCCTCCTGGGTACCCACACCCTCATGCACATACCCCCACATGAACAGACATACACAGAATTTAAGTTATATATTAAAATATGCAAAATCGGGGCATGCTGGAAAGATGGCTCAGAGATTAAGAAAACTGGATGCTCTTGCAGAGAACCTGGGTTCAATTTCCAACCCCCAAATGGTGGCTAACAACCATCCATAACTCCAGTTCCAGGAGATACACTGCCCTTTTCTGACCTCCTCAGACAACAGGCATGCACATAGTAGACATACATGAAGGCGAAACACTCATAATTTTTTTTAATTGAAAGTCTGTTGTGGTGGTACATGCCTTTAATCCCAGCACTCAAGAGGCAGTGGCAGGGAGATATCTGTGAGTTCAAGTCCAGCCTGGTGTACATAGTCAGACCCAGACTCAAAAAATAAAGTAAAATATATAAATTTGGTACTGGAGAGATGACTCAGCAATTGAGAGCACTTACTGCTCTTGCAGAGGACCCGTTGGGAGCCCAGAAACCACATCCTGCTGCTCACAACTGTGTATAACTTTATTTACAGGGGATTCAATGCTTTCTTCTGGCTTCCAAGAGCACAGCATGCATGTAGTATATGTACAGATCTCACACACACACACACACACACACACACACACACACACACACACACACAAATACACAAATGAAAATCAAAATAAATTCAATATGTAAACTCTCCATCTCAACTACTGTGCAGCTACAAATGCAAACTAGACGAGTGAGTGTGTTGCTCCCACAAAAGGACTTCCACTGAAGCACCCTGACCAGCTTGCCGCCAGTGGCACTTTCTCAAAGAGTGACCTCTTGGTAATAGTCGAAACAAAACAGCACCATCTTCCTGTCAATGCAGCAGCTGCATTTGACAACAGTTTGGTGTATGTGGAAACAGCACTTAGATGATGATGTAGTTTTGCATCTACATGGATATCCAGTGGCTCAGTTCTCTCTTGTATGGGACTGATTAGCTTGCATCTAGCATGTCTGGCTCTGCTGACCACATACCAGTAGCCCTTGCCAATGGTTTCATCACCCCAAAATACACACATTTCCACAGTGCCCCTTTATGTCTTTTTTTTTTTTTCTGGAGCTGAGGACCAAACCCAGGGCCTTGTGCTTACTAAGCAAGTGCTCTGCCACTGAGCTAAATCCCCAACCCCCACAGTGCCCCTTTAAAAACTGTTAGGCTTAGTGATTTCTATGGTCCTGTGGTGATTGAATGAGAATGGCCCCCATTGGCTCATGTTTGAATAGTTGGTCCTCAGTTGGTAGAACTGTTTGGGAAGGATTAGGAGGTGTGGCCTTGTTGGAGGTGTGTCACTGGGAGTGGGCTTGGAGGTTTCAAAAGACTCTCCTTATTCCCAGTCTCTCTCTCTCTCTCTCTCTCTCTCTCTCTCTCTCTCTCTCTCTCTCTCTCTCTCTCTCTCTTTCTCTCTTTCTCTGCCTTCTACTTGTGGTTCCAGATGTAAACTCTCAGCTGTCCCTGCCACCGTGCCTTTGCTCTGTCATCGTATACTGTAACCCTTTGAAAGCAGAAGCCCAGTTACATGCTTTCTTTTATAAGTTGCCTTGGTCATGGTGTTTTATCACAGCAATAGAAAAGAAACTGAGATGGGTCCCTTTCTGGTATGAAATTTGAGGACTCACAAAGCATATTAATGAGATTTGGTCTTAGTTTTGCTTTAAATTCCTTTCCACATAAATGTAGAAAAATGAGAGTGCACTGTTCAAAAGCTGTAAATTCTGAGAGTTACTCATATTGCATGTAACACGGTGAGATTGACTTACTAACCTGCTCCTGGGTTTTGTTTTACTTATGTAGAATATATGTACAGGGCACTGCTGTGGAAACACACACCCCCAATCAAATATACAGCAGTTTCTTATTTTCAATTAGTCTTGCTCAGAGGAATGCTTACTTCAAACTACTAGGGTGTTTTGTTAATAAGTTGTTGTTGGAGTATCAAATGTACAGGAAATGGGGTGCTGGAGAAATGGCTTAGTGGTTAAGAGCATGTGCTGTTCTAGCAAAGGACGGAAGTTGGATTTCCAACACCCACCTCAGGGGGCTCACAACCTCCAGTAACTGCAGCCCCAGGGGATCCCATACCCTGTTCTGGCTTCTGTAGGCACCTATACACGTGCACATAAAAATACATGCACACTAAATAAATAAAAATCTCTTTTAAATGTACACAAAATGGAGAAACACAAAGATTTGTCTTCAAACATATTTACTCTGGAAAGGAATGGTGTGCAGACTTACACAGCTAAAGGAGCTGCCTTTCCCTGCTCCAAATGACTGTTCCATTAAGGACTAACTTACAAAGTGTCTGTCAGTAGCTATCGTAGTGTTCTACTGCTGTGACGAGGCGCTATGACCGCAGCAACTTTTATAAAAGGAAGCATTTAATCAGGAGCTTGCTTACAGTTTCAGAGGTTTAGTTCATTAGCCTCATGGTTGGGAGCATGGCAGCATACAGACATGATGTGGGAGAAGTAGCTGAGAGTTCTACATCTTGACCCACAGGCAGCAGGGAGAGAACTGGGCTTGGCATGGGCTTTTGAACCCTCAAAGCCCACCCCCATGACACACTTCCTCCACCAAGACCAAACCTCCTAATCCTTCTAATCCTATCAAAGAGTTCTACTTCCTGGTGACTAAACATTCACATATATGGGCCTTTGTGGCCATTCTTAT